TGATTTGAAGCTAAATCTTGCGTTTCGCATGGATTCGAAGCTAATTCGTTTGTTTCGTTTCCAACTGAAGTTAGATAATTTATTTCGCAAGGATTTGAAGCTAAATCATTTGTTTCGCATGAATGTGAAGATAAACCTTCTACTTAGCATTGATTTGAAGCTACATCATTTATGTCGCAGGTATTTGATGCTATATCATTTGATTCTTATGGATTTGAATCTATACCTTCTACTTCGCATTGATTTGATGCAAAGTCATGTGTTTCCCATGGATTTGAAACTGTATCGTTTGTTTCGCATGCATTTGAAGCTAAATCATTTATATCGCAAGTATTTGAAGCTAAATCGTTCCTTTTGCCTAGATGTGAAGTTAAGCCTTATACTTCACATTGATTTGAAGCTAAATCATGTGTTCGCATGAATGTGAAGGTAACTCGATTGTTTTGCATGCATTTGAAGCTTCATCATTTATATCCCAAGGATTTGAAGCTAACTCGTTTGTTTCGCATGCATTTGAATCCTATATCATTTATGTCGCAAGTGTTTGAAGCTAAATAATCTGTTTCACATGGATTTGAAGGTAAACCTTGTACTCCGCATTGATTTCAAGCTAAATCATGTGTTTCGCATGGATTTCAAGTTATCTCGTTTGTATCGCACTCAGTTGAAGCTAAATTGTTTATAGAGCAAGCATGTGAAGCAAAAATCATTTGCTTAGCTTGGATTTGAAGCTGAACCTTCTACGTCCCATTGATTTGAAGCTAAATCATGTGTTTCGCATGAATGTGATGCTAACTCGATGGTTCTGCATGCATTTGAATCTATGTCATTTAAATCACATGTATTTGAAGATAAATCATTTGTTTCGCATGGATTTGAATAGTATATCATTTATGTCGCAAGTATTTGAAGCTAAAGCGTTTGTTTCGCATGGATTTGAAGCTAAACCTTCTACTTCGCAGTGATTTGAAGCTAAATCACTTGTTTCGCGTGGAGTTGAAGCTAAACCTTCTACCTCGCATTGATTTGAGGCTAAGTCACGTGTATCGCATGGATTTGAAGCTAACTCTTTTGTTTCGAATGCTTTTGAAGCTAAATCACTTATATCGCAAGTATTAGAAGCTGCGTCATTTGTTTCGCATGGATTTAAAGCTAAACCTTCTACTTATCATTCATTTGAAGCTACATCATTTATGTCGCAAGTATTTGAAGCTAAATCATTTGTTTCGCACGCATCTGGAGCTAGACCTTCTATTCCGCATTGTATTGAAGCTATTTCATATGCTTCGCATGGATTTGAAGCTAACTCGTTTGTTTCGCATTCTGTTGAAGCAAAATCATTTATATCGTAAGTATATGAAGCTAAATTATTTGTTTCGCATGGATTTGAAGCTATCTCGCTTGTTTCGCTTCCAGTTGAAGCTAAATCATTTATGTCGCAAGTATTTGAAGCGAAATCATTTATGTCGCACGTATTTGATGCTATATCATGTGTTTCGCATGCATTTGAAGCTAAACCTTCTACTCCGCAATGATTTGAAGCTAAGTAATGTGTTTCGCATGGATTTGAAGCTACCTCGCTTGTTTCGCTTCCAGTTGAAGCTAAATCATTTATATCGTAAGTATTTGAAGC